TCCCCCCCCCCCCCCCTGCTTCCTCAATGCCATCCTCACCATCTCAAAAACACTCTGACCAAACCATAAAATCACCATAGCCACGTCTCCATTCCCACAAGTACGTACCCACAATAACACTACATACTGCCACTGCTCAGTCCCAGTTCCCCCTCTCTTCTCTCTCTATCTCTCTCTGGTCCACACAAACTCTCTCTCTGTTCCTCGCCTTTATTACATTGTTCTCTCTTTTCTTGAATTTCAGCCCTCTGTTCACACTTTCTCTTCAACCCCTGTACCTTTTCCCTCTGATTCTTCATCAATTCAAGAAAGCAATACAGACCCAGAAAAACAATTAAAGTCTGGGAATCCATTGTTATGCAGCTTGATCACGTCAACGTTAATGGAGGCGTGACCCCGTCCAGGAAAAGCTCGATGAGTAGCAGCAACCGTACTAGCATCAGCCGCCTCTCTTTTGAGCTCCCTGCCAGCTCGCCGGAGCAGGGCAAGGCGGCGCCTGTTAAGCCTCAGGCGGGGCTGGGTTCCCGGGACTTCAGCATCGTCCGCCAAATCGGGAGCGGGGACATCGGGAGGGTCTACCTCTGCCGCCCTCGCGGCGGCTCCGGGGAGAAAGTGTACGCCATGAAGGTGGTGGACGGCGAGGCTCTGGCGGTGAAGAAGAAGACGGAGAGGGCGGAGACGGAGAGGAAGATCCTGAGGATGTTGGACCACCCTTTCTTGCCCACTCTCTACGCTGAGTTTCAAGTCTCCCATTTCTCCTGCGTCGTCATTGAGTACTGTTCCGGCGGCGATTTGCACTCTCTCCGCCACAAACAGCCTCGTCGCCGCTTCTCCCTCCCCTCCGCCAGGTACATAACTTTCTTGCATTCTTTTTTGTTTTTTTTGGGGATGTGCCAAACAGGGCATTCTTTTCCTCCCAACTTTCTAGGCAGCCCTTTTTTTGGACCTTGAATTTTGACATTTTCTGGGATTTTCCTTGTTTTGTTCACCTTTCATTTCTCAACAATGGGATTTTGCCATTTTTGTGCAATTTCATATGTCAACTCTGATGGGATTTTATTTATTTAATTTTATGTTTACTAGGTTTTATGCAGCCGAGGTTTTGGTGGCTTTAGAATACCTTCACATGCTGGGAATCGTATACAGAGATCTAAAGCCGGAGAATGTGTTGGTCAGATCGGACGGTCACATTATGCTGACCGATTTTGATCTCTCTCTGTGCTCCGACGTGGTGGCTTCCGTTGAGTCGCCGGAGCGCTCTGCGACGGCGGCAGCTCGTATTCCATCTCCGTTTTCTTGCATTCCCGGTGGGCTCTTCAGGTCGAAGAAGATCCGGACGGTTTCCGACAGCCCATTGTTCGTGGCGGAGCCGGTCGCCGCCCGGTCGTGCTCCTTCGTGGGGACCCACGAGTACGTGGCGCCGGAAGTGGCGTCCGGCGAGTCCCACGGGAACGCCGTTGACTGGTGGGCCTTCGGGATATTCCTCTACGAGATGATCTACGGCCGGACCCCGTTCGCCGGCGCGTCGAACGAGAGCACGCTTCGGGGCATCGTGAAGAAGCCGCTGGCTTTCCCCAGCGAAGCGCCGGCCGGGGCGAGTGAGGCGCACGCGCGGGATTTGATAACGGCGTTGCTGGTCAAGGATCCGAATAAGCGGCTCGGGTCGAAGCGCGGGGCGACCGAGGTGAAGGCCCACCCGTTTTTCATGGGGTTGAATTTCGCGCTTATAAGATCCGTGACGCCGCCGTCTGGCCCGCGGTTCAGGAGAAACAAAACGACGCCGTCCATTGGCAGTGACAGGCAACATCTGCCGCCGTTTGATTTCTTCTGAAGAAGACGCGACAGAGCCTTCGACGGATAATTTGGCGAGTTGCACACACTCGCCGCCTGGTTATTTCGCTCACATAATTTTTATTTTCCCTAGAATTAAGAAAGACAAAAATATTTAATGCTGTAAATGGATCCGGCCGTACGTGGGTAACTTTTTTCTCTTTCCACCCTCATTTTTACCCGGCTCAAAATGAGAACGAGATAAATGTTTTCAATTTGAGTGGGGTAAAATTCTTAAGTAGGATTTGCTCCAAAAAAGAAAAGGAAAATTCTAGAGAAGGTTATATTTATAAGCTGTGTCAATTTGATTTCTAGTCTAGATACTCCCTTCGTCGCTAAGAACTCTTATACTCCCTCTGTCCGAAAATGTTCTTCCCATTTGACTTTTCACAGTCACTAATATTGTTCTTTGACCATTAATATCTATATTTATACATAGATATATTTTATAAAAATGTGATATTTGAAAACTACGTTTCATTATGAATATATTGATATTAAATTTATATCATAATACAATGTATTTTTTCCACAAATCATAACCAAAATTTATAAACTTTGATCAAGAAAAGTCAAATGCAAAGAACATTTCCGGACAGAGGGAGTATTAACTTTGCACGAGTTTTAATGTAGGTAAATTCTATGCTTTATGTTCATTTAATGGAACATAGTGTATTTGTAATACTCGTATTAAAGAAGTGGGTCTTTGGAAAAAACAAAAAAAAATTACATACAAGCTCATGAAAAATATGAGAATGTTTACATTTTAAATATACATCTTGGGACCATGTAAACATCATTTCCGAGCTAAACATAGGGGGTGTTTTTCTGTGCTGATACTTATTGACTTATTGTTTGTTGGACTTAAGTAAGGAAGAACACTGCGAAGCAGTGTTAAAGAAGAACTCGATAGTATAACGAATCGCGTACGAAACACTTTCAGATCAAAGTTATTTCGGGGTATACGAAATACTTCAATCTGATAAAACGCTAATCAACAACAATTACCCGAAAACCCGTCACTCAATCCATGCCACGAGACTCTATTTTATAGAGTCAAAATTTTTCATGATCGGACATGAACGTTCGCGTACGTTCGCGCGGGGAAGAAGAAAGGCACGAGTTTGAACTAAAGGTTTCCTGCGGTTTTAGGGTCTATTTCGACGTTATCCACTTGTTCGAGTCCTTTACCATTTTGGATTCCGATCACGAAAATATTAAGGATTTTCATAAAGAAACAACGTGCGAAATAAAAAATTTCCAAGCTATCCATCCTGGCCAGGGGCTCTGCCCCTTGGACCCCGCCAGGGGCTGTCGCCCCTTGGACCCCGCTACCTGGGGGCTGCCGCCCCCGGACCCCCGCAGTGAATTTGTAATATCGTTGAACGAGCGCGCACTCCACGCCTCCTAACTCGTTTTACAACCACTACAAGAATTTGTCTGATCTGCAACGGATATCTGCTACGGACCCGTTTCCGTAGCAGATCTGCAACGAATCAGCGACAGAATAATAATTCCGGAAAAGGACATAGTGTCTGCGACGGATTTAATTTTTCCGTCGCAAAACTGCGATGGAACAATGTCCCCCCGTCACAAATTCTAATTGGTCAAATTTTGACCTTATTATCTGCGACGGACATTCAATTCTGTCGCGGATCCGTCGCAGATATTTACTCAAAATCGAGATAGGTTTTTTCTCAGCCATTCGTCCGTCATTCTACCCTAATCCCAATTCTCTCTCCCGCCCAGCCTCCCAGCCCTCCGCCACCCGTCGATGCTCGTCCTCGCCGCCGACGCACGTCCTCGCCAGCCCCGCCGCCGTCGCCACCCACGCCGGAACCTTCAGCCACGTCGTTCACCCAGCCTCCCAGCCCTCCGCCACCCGTCGACGCCCGTCCTCGCCGCCGACGCACGTCCTCGCCAGCCACGCCAGAACCTTCAGCCACGTCGTTCGCCCAGCCACGCCGTCCTCCCAGCCGCGTCGTCCACAAGCCGTCGCCACCCCTCGTCGCTGCCGCGAGTTCTCCACTACCAGCCGTCTCTTCCCTCGCTGGACCTCCTCTTCCTCTTTGCAGTTGCAGTGAACTTGGAGGTATTTTTGTTTAATTTTATACAATTTATTATTATTATTATTATTATTATTATTATTATTATTATTATTGTTATTATTATTTTTGTAATTTTTGGTGAAATTGAATTTGTTTGTATGAAATTGAGTGCATTTTTGGTGAAATATAGTTGAAATTGTGTGAATATGAGATGTAATTGACATAAAATTGGGTAAAAATTGCATTACTTTTTGGTGAAATTGATGGCATTTAAGGTATAATTTTAGTTGAAATTGTGTGAGTGAATTTGGCGTTTATTGAGAATTCATGTAAAATTTAGTTGCATTTTGTAAAATTGAGTGCATTATACATTTGTATTTGTAGTTAAATGATTGTTGTTTGTGGCTTAATAAGATTGTCGTACAAATGAGCGATAATGAGAACCCCCCTCCCCCACGAAGACTGATAGAGAGGTGTTGGCACGTTTGAGGAGGTCTGTCATTGGTAGATGGAGACCCTCTTCTCGCCAGGGATCGAGCACAACCACTACATCCACAGGCACTCCCTCTATTTCCTCGAGTCCATTCACTGACACACAGGTATCCCCCTCCACCCCACAAACTACGCCATCTGGCCCTTGTACGTCAGGTATGCAGCTCTCCTCTTAGAGACTAATATAGTAAAATTTCCAACAGATAAGCCATTAGAGTGATGTTTCATTTATCAAGAAACGGAAACAATGTCTACGCTTGTTAATAGCTCTTTTTAATGCATGTATTATTGTGTTATTGTGTAAATAGCATCTAGGGTCGGGGAGAGTACTGAGGATCAAGAGGACGGAGGTGGCGATGACCACAACTCCAAGGACCGCGTTGGCGATGGACACAGTGGTGGGGTTCGAGATGGCGAGGACCGCAATCACGAGGACAAGGAGGGTAGATATCACGAGGGTCCCGGTCATCGGGGTCAATTCGTGTATGTCAATTCGGATGACGAGTAAGTACGGTGTACATTTGAAGATTATGGTATGACATAAAACATTTACAAATACCTAACGATTTTATGTTCACTACTTATATATGTTTGTAGCAAATCTGCCACGGAATCTAAAGTCCGTCGCAGAAATTAAATCTGCCACAACTTTTCCAGCGACGGAATAACTTCGTAGCAGATCCGTCGCAGATTAGAAATCTGCCACGGAATTTTAAACTCTGCCACGAATTTTTTCCGTTGCAGATCAGCAATTTTCTTGTAGTGAACGTATATTTAAATTCTTGTCTGATCTAAGTAAATTCAATTACACAAAATATACCGATGACACTAAAATCACCAACATTATTGATAAGTAATTTTTATCTTATAAGTTGCGTATAAGCTAAATATTCTTTTGTGGAAGTAAAATCACTTGAATGATAAATAATTCATTTGGAAATAATCATTAATAATGATGGTCAATTTTGTAAATAGTTTGGACAAAACAATTAAATGAAAAATTAACTTAAAATAAGTAGATAAGATCAATTTATTTTTTCTAGCTTATAAGTAATTTATAAGTACAAAAAAATATGTCATTAACTGACTCATACGTAAAAAATTACTTATAAGCAAATTTGACAAACTTATAATCTAAGAAACACCACATAATCAAAAGAAAAAATGGATAGAGCGGGAACGCAAACACACTTGTTTCCAGAAGAAGCAAATAATTTAAAGGGGAAAAGAAAAAAGTCAAAACCTTTTACACTTTATGTACATTAAAGAATGATGCTTACATGGTCCCAAAAGCGCAAAACTTATTATTTCCTGTTGATGATAATATTGTTATGCATAATGAGTTCTAGATGATCAATGAAATCTTTGAATCAGATTTTATAAAGCAGTGAAACCTCTCAATAGACCTTGCTGATGCAGATCTTGTCAATGCAACAAAATCAAAGAAATCTTCAAATCAGATCTCACCAATGAACTACACCTCCACTCCAAGCTTGTTTTTTGACACTATGTTAGACATCTTTGTCGTCTTAAATGGCAAGGCAAAGAGTGATACAGGCTTAGCAACAAGTTGTATTTGAGCTTATTAGATGGGCTATTGTGAGCTTTAGTGAGTTTGTTACTGATGGTGTAAATTATAATGCCCTTGAACTCGTGTATAATCCAAGACAATTCAATTCATCTTCTTGATATTATCTATGTGTTTCTTTCTCTCGTTCTTCTTTCTGTAACTCCTTTGAAGCAAGTTAGTTCAAGCGTTCGTCTTCTTTATGCTCTTGCATTTGTTTGGTGAATACTCGAATTACTAATCAAATTAATTATGCATGTTCTGCATCAGAGAGCTTCTCGTTAAACAACAATAGATATTTGAGCTTAGACTCAGACACCATGCTCTCGTTCTTATTGACCTGCACCGGGTCAAGTCGTGACTCGGAGGGTCACAAGCTGAGTTGTGTGAACGCAAATGGAAGACATGGCAGTAAAAGGAGATAACGTGTGTGTGTGTGTGTGTATATATATATATAGGGGCCGGTTCCCGTGAGAATGCACCTTGTGGAGAGAAATGAGAATAAAATCTAGCCGTCGGATCTNGTGCGGCTCAGATTGCATCCTGCGCTCAGATTTTGAGATAGTGCATTTTCGAAGGTTTATGATGCATTTCAACGTGATGCATTTTCGCACCATTTTGGTGCATCTAATTTTGATGAAATCTTGACCCTTAGATCTCACAATCTAAAGCACTAGATTCATTCTCATTTCTCTCCTAAGATTGCATTCTCACCAGAACCAATATATATATATATATATATATATATATATATATATATATATATATATATATATATATATATATATATATATATATATATATTGGAACTGAGAAGTCCGGATCCGGAGAAGTCCAATTCCGAGAAATCCGAATTCCGAGAGATCCAAATTCCGAGAAATCCGAACTTGAGAAGTCCAAAATCCTGTGGTGACCGAATCCCATTCTAATTGGGATTGATCTTGATTTATTTGTTTCCTAGTTTGTTTAATGATTTGTTTCCTTGTAGGATTTGTATTCCTTGTCTTTTTGGAATCATCCTCTCCTATAAATAAAGGAGAAACCCCTTGTAATTAGACAGAACAATTGAATATACAGAAAGATTTTCTCTCTTATCAATTTCTACATGGTATCGGAGCATAGTTCCTAGGGAAAACCCTAATTTAGACAAACGACAGTCCATCACTGTCCGCCGCCGGACCATCTTCCTCGACCGTTGACATGGCAGATGCAGAGGAAAATCTCATCGGAAAGATCTTCGATGAGGAGGAGAAGATCCCTACGAAGGGAAGTTCTTACGAACTCAAGAACGCAGACACACCCGGATTAATTATCACCCAAGTCAAACTAAACGGTGATAATTATGAAGAATGGGCCCGTGCAATGAGAATTGCATTCCGTGCAAAACGGAAAATTGGATCCATTGACGGATCCATCCCTTGTCGAGAAGAGGGAGATGAAAATTATGAAGAATGGTGGATTGTAAATGCCATGTTGGTCTTATGGATTTACAATACCATTGACAGTAGTCTGAGAAACTCTATCACATAAGTGGAGGTAGCAGCAGAACTTTGGAAAGACATCCAAGATCGTTTCTCTTTTGCGAATGGGCCTCGGATTCATCAACTGAAGAAAGAACTTGCAAACTGCAAGCAAAACGGTCAGTCCATTGTCACGTACTTTGGAAAATTAAAAACAATTTAGGACGAATTGGGTGATCATGAAAAGATTCCCACTTGCAAATGCCAAGGATGCAAGTGTGGGATAAGCAAAGCTCTTGCCATTTAAAGGGACAAAGAAAAGGTGCACCAGTTTCTGATAGGATTGGATAACGAAGGATATGGGAGTCTACGATCTAACATCATCGCCACAGAGCCCTTGCCACCACTAAATCGTGTTTACTCGGTCATTATCCAGCAAGAAGGGGTTTTGAAGACTACCCAAGAAGAGGAACGTAACCCGGTTGGCTTTGCTGTCACTTCTAAATTTGATTTTGACATGACTAAAGATTTAAAATGCAAACATTGTGGGTTGAGCGGACATGAGAAGAGTGGTTGTTTTCAACTCGTTGGATATCCTGAATGGTGGGGAGATCGCCCACGCATTTTGAACCCAGGACGAGGCAATGGCCGAGGCAACGACACAGGAGGACGGCGCGGCGGCAGGGGGGGCAACGCCGGCCGAGGTAATCGAGGCGGGGCTGGTGGCGGTCTTGCTAGCGGTCCAACAGGGGGACCGGCGGCCTACACAGCTCAGGCCAACCCGACGGATGGAGGCCGTGCAAATCTCCCTCCTCTCACAACCAATCAATGGAATGCACTTGTGGGACTTTTAAATGAGAAGGATTCGGGTATGGAAAATAAATTTTCAGGTATGACTAATACTTCTTGGATCATTGATAGTGGAGCCAGCCAATATATGACCAGCGATGAGAAATGTTTTAAAAAATTAGAAGCTATGAAACCTTGTTCTGTTGGTCTACCAAATGGAGATTGTGTGGTGTCCAACAAAAAGGGGAGTGTGATCTTGAATAATTTGATAACCTTAGAAAATGTTTTGCTAGTTCCTCAACTTAACTGTAATCTTATATCTGTCTCACAACTTCTTGAAAAAAAAATCTAATTGTCAAGTTTAATAATAAAATTTGTATCATATAGGAATATATCTCGAAGATGGTGATTGGAGTGGGTGAGCAGGCTGCAGGACTTTATTATCTCAAGAAAGGTGTGAAGGACAAAGTCTGCACAGTGAAGGAGGCAAAGGATCTGGACATTTGGCACAAGCGTTTGGGTCATCCCTCCTACACCATTGTCAACACTTTTCTTCAATTATCCAAAAATACCAATATTCCTAATTCTCCTTGTGATGTGTGTTTTCGTTCAAAACAATGTCGTGACTCTTTTCCAATTAGTGCCAATAAAACTCTTACTCCTTTTCCTTGATTCATTGTGACTTTTGGGGTGGGTATCGTACTCCGTCTCGCACTGGGGCGAGATTTTTTTTGACTATTGTTGACGATTTCTCTCGGGCAACATGGGTATATCTCTTGAATCACAAATATGAAGCTCCCACTGTCCTGCGTAACTTCTTTCCCATGATTGAACGTAACGTTAATTTAATAAACAGGTAAAAACTGTACGAAGTAGGGGTGAGCAAGGACCAAACCGATCCCAATATTTCCCGAAAAAACCGAGAATACCGAACCGAAAAATACCGAATCGATCAAGTACCGCAAAGTAACCGAACCGTACCGAACCGAACGGTCGGTCCGGTATTTGGGAACGGTACGAGGTTACTTCTCATACCGAAATTCCCGAGCCGAACATATATAATATATTATAAAAATAATAATCTTTTTATATTTCTTCATTATGTAAAAAATTTATATAGACCGTTTAATTTAATTTCATTATGTATAAGTTGCACTTTGATAAGAGTTTTTTTATTTTTTGTAGATGAGTATACGAATATTAACAAACATTTGAAATAAGACTTTGTTATCACTCGTTTTCTTTAGTTTGTGAAATATAAACTAACTTTCATAAGCATTTCTTGGATTTTTTTTCATTTTTAAATTTTTTTAATCTTTCTTTCGTTAAATGTACTTTCGATTTTTCAAAAATAAAAGGTTTTGTTACATTTTATTGTGTAAACTAGGTATGTATATATTCATCCCGATTTGTACCGAAACCGATACCTAACCATCCCGAACCATACCGAACCGATGCTTCGGGATCGGTACAACATAAAATCCCATACCGAACCGAAATATTTGGTACGGTATCGGTACGAGCTAAATACCGTACCATACCGTACCACGCTCACCCCTAGTACGAAGTGACAATGGTACAGAGTTCACTTGTTTAAAATCCTTTTTCAGCAATCATGAGATTCTTTTTGAATCCTCTTGTGTTGGCACCCCACAACAAAATGGTCGAGTTGAACGAAAACACCGTCACATTCTCAATATTGCCAGAGCACTCCGTT